GGCCAGGGAGCGGCCTCCGGGGGACATGCTTGCTCCTTCCTCCGCCTCCCCCCGCAGCCGGCGGGGCTCCAGCAGCGGCACGAAGGCGGGGGCCTGCCCTCGGGCACTGCCGGGCGGGGGCACACCCAGGGAAGGGGCAGGCCTCGGTGGAGGGCTCCGAGGTACGGGAGCCCGGGCTAGGGAGGAGGAGACAGAGCTGCCAGGAGAAGCCTGGGTCGGGCGGCCGGGAGCCACCATCCCCAGAGAGAAGCGCCACTGCTGGTGGGCAAGGAGCTACAGGAGGGAGCTTGCCCAGCGCTGAGAGGCTTTATGACCAGTTCTTGCTCAGAAGCCTTCAGGCTTGTAAAAAACCACCATGTCAGCCTTCAGCATCTCACGTCCTGTCACCAAGAACTCCCCTGAGGAACTGCTCTCACTTCACCCAAAATACGTGGGGTGTTCCACCCATCAGCTTTAGCACACACCTTCAGACCTTAGCTCCATGCAGCTCCCACACTTGGCATCTGGTACAGTAACATTTCCCCCATCCCATGCCACATCACATTACTGAACCCACACAGGATTCGCTGGTACCGTGAGAAGCCCCATCATCAGAGACAGACTTAACCTGTATATTCTGGTCAGCAGCAGTCCACCCTGGCAGGCAAGAAGGTGCTATTACTTGCCAAGCAAAGAAACAAAGAAAAGTGGCTTCATACCTGCCTGTTATTATCTCCACATAAAGCTCCATGTATAACTAAACCACTTCCTTCTAGCACCCCCAAAATCAATGAATCTCAAATGTCTCTTAAAATTTGTGTGCTGGAAATAGCACGTACTGGACAGAATTAAGCACAAAAGCAGAAGTCATAAGAATAGGGGCAACTCTATAATAATAAAGTACTTTTTTTTTTAAGCTAGCTTTAGTGGTCCATAACATATCAAGAGAAGAGGAAAAAGCACATTTACAAAGGAGCCCCAGTCAGCATATACCCATGTGATGGTATACCCATCCTTAGATGCAGCCCCCTGGGAGGATGCTGACAGGATATATCTACACCCTTGGGAATTTGTACTCTGTTTTCTTGACTAACCACCACAAGCAGCTTAACTTGTCTCTTCAGTTAAATTCAGCTCCCATTAGTGACTGTTCCACTGACTCCAACCTCCTCAACTGGGTCCTCGATGCCTGACAGAGGCCCCTTTCGTATTGTGCTACTGAGAGTGGCAGGGAAGAAAAGGAGTTGTTCCAGTGACTACAGTGCCTCTGGGTTTGCCATCACAAGCCAAGCTCTTACGGATTAGAATCTGGCAGCAAATTCATTTCTACAACCTACTTATCCCAAATGCAAGATGTCACTGTGGGAAGATGTACCTCTTGGAGGTAAAAAAAAAAAATATACACGATTACCTTTTTCTATCCATACTTTATTGCAAGTGTACATATAATTATTTATATTTTTTAAACAAGAAATTCCTTTCATGGAAAGGAGAAACTTTTACCATTAAAATAGAGTGATTATACCGTGAGTATTTTACAAGTATGTACAAATATTGGCAGTTACTTTCTAACATCAGCTGATAAATGCCTACACATTTCCCTCTACCAAACTAATCAAAACCAAAAATAGTAAGAGACCTTCTAAATCTGAAGACAAAAAATAAATCTATTACTACCAGGAACAGGTTTTTTTTCATATGAATACAAAAACTTGCATAATAGATATTCACAGTGCTTATAAGATATTAATTCATTCTCAGTCTATATACAGAAGTGTCCGGTCTCCCCTTCATGTGCATATGCAACTTACACTACTGGAGGGAGCTGCATAGACCACTGAGAGAAGAAAGTCAGACCTGGAGAGTTTGCCTTCCCCACCAGCCATGAATAAATACAAGAAACCCCCATGTACATACAAGCCAGTGGATGCTCATGCAAGAGCCAATTACACTGTTTTCAAGCACTGGTGTATTTTATAACCAGCAACAGCAGGATTACAGCATTTCACCAAATCGATTGAAAGCTTGGTAACTGCAAAAAGAAAATACCAAGCTGCTTAGTGGCAAGAAACACTTCAGCAAGGCGGTCAGGCTGAAGCAGGTATGAATGTGATTGTCTGAGACAAGTGTGCATGAATGCGAATGTGTGGTGCACGTGTGTTGTGACACTTTTCTAAACAACTATACATACCACTGAATTTTGAGGGTTTTTTCCTGTTAACAACCACTGCCAGAGCCATGAGTAACTATACATCTGCACAGGTGGGAGAGCAACAGTTTAGCAGGGCTGTTGCTCCAGAGCCCTCCATGGACAAACAGACGTTGCTGCAGTAAGAGCAACCCCTCCAGCTCCGTGGTGGATGCAAGAACAAAGCTGCTCCCTGCAGCACGGCCACTGGCCTTCTGGATCCTGGCCATGTCCGTCTCCCACAGCTAATGGCCAAACAGCCCAGGCAACAGGGAATGACCGACAGCAGGAGGCTTGACTGGACTGTTCATGAACAGCTAGATGTTGTTTACCCATTTAGATCCATTCAGGGGAGTTTATTTTGGATGCAGTGACCATGCCCCAAGTACTCTGCAAAGGCATTTTGGCTTTGCTTAGAAGAAAGGCAGAGAGGCTATGGCAAACACACAGCTCCTAAACTGTTCATTATAAAAAGAAAGTACAGTGTGATCAAAGAGGGCACAGTCAATTAAGTCATGGCTACAGTGGGCCTGTGCCCATCATTCATTCCTCAAACACACAGTGAGGGTTTGGTGTTGGATTCATCTCAGAGGACATACAGCCACTGACGCCACTTCAGTAAATGCAGAGACACAGCACGCTCACCTGCATAGAAATAATGAGATGAGAGACTTCACAGATTTGCTATTTTAACAGTTTATGGGAACGCAGTTTACCAGACAACTACAAAGCCTGCAAGCCCACCGTCAAAGCAGCAGCTCAAACCCTCCTCATGGTCTGGCTTGCTTCCTTTCCTGAATTTGGCTATCTTAAGCTTTTGAGTGATCAACACTGCACAACACACACTTCCTCAACCAGCAGAACAGCGTCAGTCTGCTTCCACAGTTTGCCAAAAAATTATTAGCTTCCACCTGCAAGACTGTCAAAAGCTGGGCACATGGCATAGGTTACACGTGCCTGTTAGTACGAGCTTCCCAAACGCTGGGAATTGATATGGGGAGGAGGTACTGGGGGAAGACAGGGAAGGAAATCAAACGCACATTTATTTAGATGTAACAAGGTAGCAGGATGTTTTCCACACCAAATGCTTGAATCAAACAGTATAATTATCGTTATTTTCCTAGCAAGAGCCAGCACAGTTCCACCTCTCAAATTCACCAAACAAGTACCCTTGGTTTGGCACACAGAATACCCTACACTTCCACCATCACCAGCCCTGCAGCACCACACACATTTGCATGACCTGTCCATGACTAAGTTGGACAGTCACTCTGTCTGTCCTTCCAAAGCGACTTTGTCCAGACCATACTTGCCTCCTAAGCAGAGGAAAAATTTCTAAAGGAACAGATTTATTAAAAACAAAGAAAAGCACAACATAAAAGTATGATTCAAAAGGGGTGATCATGCCTGGACACATTCTCCAGTCACACTCCTGCCTTCAAGAGCCAGTCAATTAACACTCTTGTCTTCTGTACTCTCAGCAGCAGACAAGTCATTAGTTTTATCCCCTCTCCCATCTCCCCAAGGATATAAGCATTTATTTACCAATCTGCATCATGGAAGTAGTAGACAGCTGAGAGAAAGTTCTGTTTGTTGCGTTAAATAAATAAAGAACGCACATTCTATTTGGCTGGATACTTACAAAAAATAACACACCAAAAAAAGAAGATAAAAACTCCTGGCAGAGCAGGTCTTGCTCCTAGTAAAGGAAACAGGCAACTTGTGTTCATTACAACAGGAACAGGCTAGACATTTCCACACACAGCCCTCTAAATGTGCTTAGAGTACATCCTGGCCTGACAGCTGTTGGCAGTGTTGCAGCAGCACAAACTCAAGAGAAGCAAACTATCTGTACACTAGCATTAACATAAATGGACCACAAGAGAAAGGCAGGAAGATAAACTGACACAGACTTCAAATTTGTTTCTGACAAATCTATTTAGTCACAGTGTTTGCTTTACTAGCTCAGCATCAATTTTGGTCCACTGCTTTTGGTTTTTACATTGGTTGTGTCACTGCTAATGGTGCAGGCCACTTTCATTTTCTGCTCAGACACTTCAAATGCCAACTTTAAGTGCTACACTCCAGTTGATTTGCCCTGTAGTCTGGTCTGCAGAAGTGATGCCACTTACTTATTATGAAGCTGAATAACAAAGCTGCTCATAATCTCCTGCAAGAACCAGAGTGACATCACATGTGTTAATGAGGTATATATTTCCATGATGAGCTGTTTCCTGGCATGGAAGAGCTCCAATCTCATTACACCACAAACTCCTCTGGGAGCTGGTCCTCTCCCAGAAGATCCAAGGAGAGGCAGTTCATGGATCGCTTCCCATAAAGGGCAGACTTGGTTTTGCAGTCCGCTGTGGAATAAATGCAGCCATAGATAGATAGCTTATCCTCCAGGCTGCAGCCAAATGTGTAGCTGTGGGACGTGTCTGAAGAGAGCGTCGCACTTAGTGGTGGGTGCCGGCGCTTGTAAAGGCGGATGTCATCCAAACTCTGGCTGTGCTTCTCTGTGCAGCTCCTGCTTTTGGGCGATCTGACCTGCCAGTTCAGGAAGACACACACCAATAAAAACAGTGAGCTCAGACACAGCCTAAGGATGCTGGGTATGCTTGCTACAGGTTTTCCAAAACTGTTCTTCTCTCCTTCAAAACAACCCTACCAGCCTTCTGAAGGATGCTGGCTTAATGAAGAAGCTGTGAACCATTAAGAAATCAGAAGTGCATTAAGCTGCCCTGCCATGCTGAGCCAGATCCTGATCCGTCTGCATTGTATCCTCAGTGTCCAGTACAATGGACAAAAAACTTGACAGGTATTGACACCTGAATGACCTGACACTTCTTGGCAGATCTGTGCAGTCATCCTCAAATAGGCAAAGTGCATGTAACAAAAAATTACCCAACTGCTGGAACACACTGAGTTAGTGAAAGTCTAATGAGCTGAAAGGAAGGTTCAGAAGGCAACCACGCAAACTAATGGGTTACGGTGTCCAAAATTCACTAAGTGCAGCATACAGTTTTATCTGCATAACATTGTTCAGCAATGAAAAAAACAGGAGTGACAAACCAGCAGTAATTCCCAGAGGCAGCATCTTGCTACACAAGCTGTAGTGACTCGGCCTCTGTGGCGGAATTACCGACCATTCAAGAAATTTCCAACTTTCTCACCTGTTCTTTCTCACTCTGTCTCTTCATAATCAGCTTTTAAATGGTAACATGAAGGCTGATTTCCAGAATATCACTTTTAAACCAAGATATTTCTGTTGGCAACAAAAAAACTTCCTCCCAGTATCACTTTCCCACTTCCCCCTGTGCTGGTTCAGCTGCACTCCCAAAGACAGGCACACATTGGATGGTACGATCAACGCTAAAGAAACTCAGACCTGCAGTGTTTCATTAGATGGCCTTGTAAAGGAAGGTTTGGTGGTTGGTTTTTTTTTTAAAGATGCACCAAATATTTGATGCATAGAAGTGGCAGCCAGGTCTTTGCAACTGCTTAAACAGTCCTGTGTTGATCAGAAGCATTCTTATAAAACAGATGCCTCTTGATCAATTAATAGCATAAACAAGTGTTGGTAAAAGCATTAACACTAAAAACATTAAGCAAGATGCCCACTCCCTGCCTTGCACGCCCACCTAAGTCACTCCACTCAAATACAGGAATAAGTTCATTATGATATGTACCGCGTGATTTTCAGCTTTGGAAAAAAATAATGAAGATTTTATTCACATTTCCTGTAGTACTTTATGGACTATTTTGCTTATAAGTGAAAATTTCTTAGCACTTTTGACTGGGTCCAAGAAGAAGCATGAAAAGACAAAAAAAAGTCCTTATTCAGAAGTCCTTGTTCAGAAAAGTTCAGCATGTAAAGGGGAAAATGATGAACAGATTTTTAAAACTCTTTTAGCAGATAAGGCTAATTTGGATTCAGAGAGGGAAGGAATGGTGGAGGCTTGTGTGTTAGGGGTTTTTTTAAATACACAACATAGCTACCCCAGTGGGTACAGCTATACTTTAAAAAGAAATAGTTTGGCCTTAAAAAGACATTTTAATAAGTTTCTTCCAAGCATAACTTATGATACAACATATTTTACCATATATAGTTGTCTTTTCTCAAGGGTTTGATGAAAAGAAAATGTTGACAACAAAGACTTCAGAACACACATAGTATAATCACACAAATGATAGTAATTAGAGCTTGAGCATCTGGTTTTGCTCTGATGTGAACTCCTTCTGGCTTCAGGAGCAGGAAGATGATCGAGTTTGCAACCCACATTCAGACTGCATGGATGGTCTTAGCTTCACATTGTACTGAAAATTTGGAAGTGGTTTATTTTCCATTTCCTGTCTGGAAGCCTAAGGCAGATGATAGCTGGCTTGCAGGATTTCTCTGCCGATCATTCCAAACCTCTCTATACTACTCTGGACCCAAACACTGCTCTCATCCTATTCCTGGTAGCAATAGCCAGCCAACAGCTGGTTTTGGTTACACCATTTAAAATCAGTCTAATCCAGACCAATCAAGTTCACCTGATTTACAGCTGTCTCATTACACTAGACCTTGGTTAAATGCCCACACACAGACCCTCCTGCTGAGCACCCCCCCTTACCTGGTGAAGGGATTCCACACTTTGGCCTCTCATTTTTATTAGCGTGACTTGCACCACAGACAGTGATTCCTGATTTATAGCTGCAAAGGAGAAGGAGGAAGTGAAAAGCATTGCAGGTTTGAGGTTTTGTGGGCTGCAGAAAAGGGAAGTTGTTCTCACAGGCCACATTCAAGCAGTGCTTTCCTATAAATATAAATATACATCAGTCAGCACCCTCAATGTTCTGGGTGTTTTGCTCACAAGTATTCCTTTTTATTCCTAAGGATCAATGTTTAAAAACTCTTAAGGAAACAGCTTCTCACCAACTTGTCCCATATTCACCCATCTTGCTTTGCTATAAAGGTTGTATGTCTTGAGGCCAGACAGCTCCTGCGTGACCCTATTGTTTAACATTCCCTGTATCACAAGCCACAAAACTACCTATTAATTCCTGTGATTAGCCCATTAATCTGTGGTTGAACCCCTTGGCTGTTTTGTGGCATACAAGATTTTAAAGTAAATTCCTTCACTACAGAAGGCTTAGCTCAGTTATCTTTTTCTCATTAACCAAGTATAAACCTGACAAATTCGGAGAAGGGAGACCTTGAGGAGCACAGAGGAGAGTAGCACTGTACAATATAGGGTGCTGGCCTTTAACCCCTAGGTGAGCTGACTTTAAATCCTGTTGCAGTAGGGCAGTAAGTAGCACTGGCTGTTGTTTGGAATAAGATACAGCTTTCTTAGATGCCTCAGATTATGCCTGTTACTAGAGCCTAAAGAAAAGCACTGAGCAGTAGCAGAAAGCCATCTCACCTTGGCAGCTAGCAGCATCTAGAGGAAGAGATTCAACAGATTCTCCCACAGTGGCCTCCTCTAACTGGTCTCCAGCTAAAGGCTCATCTACAGGCACCTCCTCTGGCTCATCTACTGCCAGCTCAAGCTCTAGGAGGAAGAGAGCAGCAGGAGTAGGGTTAGCATTACACTTCTGCTCCAAGCTGCTTCACATTCTCTCACTCCCCCCATTCTCCTGCAGGAGAAGGAAAGAGGGCTTAGAAATTGCTCTGCATCTCCAAATTCTTTACCATCATCCTGAGAGTCGTCTTCAGCCCGCTCTTTGCTGCCACTGTCAATGCCAGAGCTACCGTAGCTGATAGTTGAGCTGCAGGATTTCTCTTTCCTATGCACCCGGTCAATGCTGAAGGGCTCATCCACTGACATTTCCACTGACACCCGGTGCCTGGAGTCAGCCTCGATGCCTGATGTGTGAGAGCTGCCGTGACTCCCCGTGGACTGGCGTGAGAGACGGTTATCCCTCCGGCTGCCCCCGCTGCTCCCACTGCCCCGTGAGTTCTTATCGCACGGGTCCAGGTCCATGTCTAGCGTGTCACTGATATAGGACTCCCGGTAGCGCTTCTTCTCTGAGGAGGAAAGATGAGAGAAACCAGAGGGAACTTTAAGCAAGACCGAAGGAACGACAGCAAAAATAACCAGTAAATTCTGGGACTGGCAGAACCCAACAATTAAGAATCAACTGCTGCAGCTACTGAACAAATACAGGGACAGTTTTGTACTTTGCTCAACAGATACTGGGATGCCCAGCTGGTGGTAAAAGAATTAGTCAGTCATACTTGAAGTAAAACCCAGCATGTCTTGAATTAGAACAGGCAGGTAGAGGCAGTTACGATACAGAAAATAGTAGCTTCCAGAACGAAGGTGAAAAAACCCAAAGGTATTACTTAGCTAACCCAAGTGCAGTCTTTAAAAACAGTGCACTGACTGTTTCTTGAAAGAGCCACCAACATGTGGAGACAGATAAGAACATAATCCCTATGACTGGCATTTATTGATGACTTATTAATTATTTCTCTCTTGTATCTGTTATCTAAAGAGGGGTGTGCTGAGGGTGGTCAAGAAATCCACAAGACACTAGTAGACATAAACCAACAAAGGGCCTTTTGCCCAAACACACCTGATTAGTGAGCCTTTCTACAGGTGACTGGCACATGCCACTGGTTGCACCCACACTGCTCAAGGCCACTTCTATAACCCCACTGAAGCAAAAGACAAAAGTAACCAAGATAGATGAGACCAAGGGCCGCCATGCCCTGCAGACCGATTCCACCCAACCAGCGATCACCACTTCAGAGATGGATGTAAGCTCCCTAGAGTTAGTTGAGATGGGCTATAACCAGAAACAAGTTTCTTCCTGACTTCTCCCTGGAAGGAGTCAGCCTACATCCTCAGACAGGAGGAACAATTACTGTTGGCTCACTTCTACTGACCTTGAAGGTAAGGACACAAGGCTTACAAACACCAGAGAAGACAAAGTGTGAATGGAGAATGAGGGGAATAGCAGTCATGAAAGAAGTAGGGGAAAAAAAGAATTCAGGAGAAGGCTAGAGAGAAGGGGACACTCCTCTGTAAAGAAGACCTATGCAATTCATTAAAAACAGTCACCGGGGAGAGGTAGGCTGAGAAGTTGTAGGAGACACAGCTTGCAGAACTGGAAAAAAGGAAGGGGGTAAGCTGAGAGGTGATGGAATAACTGAAATTTGCCTGGAAGGATACCAGGGACTGTCAAGAGTTCAAACCACTGTTCCTATGAGGAGGGGACCCCATCAGAACAGACAAATTCTGGGAGTCCTGATCTGCTCTCAGGCTGTTTCTGGCAGCTTCCACTCCTAGCTCGTAACTGTCTAACACCAAAGACCAAATTGTGTGTAGTGTTTAGTAAAGGCCACTAAAAAAAACACAGGATCACAACTTGTACTGCCACTTGAACATAAGAAGATCTTGTCCTAATGGAAAGCTTTTTATTCAAAATTACTTCCACTCAGAAGCATGTGTCATATGTGCACAGAGAGCAAGGATCTTCTCTTAAAGGGAGGTATTCCCCCTCTACTGGTCTCACACACACCCTCTTGACCACAGTCCAGCAATGTGGGAGCCATAAGCACTTCTCTGTAATGAACTTGAAGCATATCTAACAGCTCTTTCTCTCAGCGGCTTCCTGATAAAGCAGAAGCACCATTAATTAGATAAAAAGCAGCCTCTGTGACGTAACAGCAGAACCTAACATGCTATACTCTTCCCCTTACCAAAGTCACCTGCTCTTCCATCACATACCTTCAGCCTCCTCCAGTTTTTGGATCTGCTTCAACACTGGCTGGATATTCAGAAAAAGCCGGTGACTGTTGCTGAGGAGCTGCAGCAAGTGCCGTGACCTGAAGGGGCAACCCGTGTAGTAAACCAGTTTCCGTGCGGAAGGCAAACCATCTGGCTGAATCTCAAATTTTTTCCCCTGCATAAAGAGGAGAGATGCCAGCAAAATTAGCAAGTTTTCGGCCACACAGCTACCAGAGATAGCTGCAGCCTTGGATGTATGAGTGACAGGACTTCTCATGGCAGTGCAGGCAGGCCAACACCTTTGCCAGGTCTCAGGCTGACAGCCTGTTGCCAGATGGCCTCTGTTCCGTCACACTCACCAGAAACGCCAGCTTCCCAATGTGCGACCAGGGAAAGTCGTAGAGGAGCTGGCGAACGTGATTCACCTCCTGCAACACATCAAACTCGGAGTGACACAGGGACTGGCAGGTACAGGGTGGAGTCAGTGATGTGCAAAGAATTTGCAAACAACCAAGAATTTGAGATATGTGGAGCCTGGCGCTCGCAGGGGAGGCAGAGGAGCTGGTGGGGTGGGGGGAGGACAGGGGAGCTGGGCAGAGTTAATGCTACACCAGAAGGCTTTCACGGCAGTCTGTTACCTGATAGATGTGCATTCCTCTCAGGGTCAGGCCCAGGATAACTGTCGGGCGATCCTCTTTCTTATCCTAAAAAGAACAGAAGAGCTTGGAGTCAAAGGTTAATCTACAAAGACCACACTCTTGTTCTGGCACCTACTGCAGGAGAGGTAGCAGGACTGCTCATCAGGCAGATGCCATCAGCTCATTTGGTTTTTATTGTGTTTGTAAAGTGCACCTTGCCTTGTTGACCCCTGAAATATCTACACCTAAAATCCCCTCATGCTACGCGACTCAAGCATTTCACCGGCAAATGCCCCAGCTGCCCTGAACAGGGAATCCTGTATCTTTAAGTGATTCGAGGGCATGGACAATTACTGCTCTCAGAGGTACCTCGTAACCTCTCATATTGCCACACACAGTCTCTGCTGTCCCCATGAACTCTTACTTTTGGTGACGGAAAGCCCGAAACAAAAAGGACAACCATCTCCTCCTCCTTGTCATGGCACTGCTGTTCCCATCCAGGGACCTGCTGGACCTTAGGTGCCTCTTGGCCAGGAGGAAGCTAATCAATGCCCAGAGTTACAGGGACTTTCCTTCTAACATTTTGATCTCAGTGTTGAGAGCAGGTGATTTTAAATGTTTGCAGCTTGTTTGGAATATTGCCTTGTTTTTCCTCATGCTGTATCTTGATATGACATACTTGGTCTCTAGTGACATTCCTTTGCTTGAAGACCCAAAAAGTATCATAAACTAGTTCTTTCAGTCTTTCCTGGCATGGCAGAGTTAGGGAAGAGAATACATCCTTTTCTCGCTGGAAGAAAATTTTGGGGTAAAAACGTATGGGCTTACAGAGCTCACACTTTACATCAAAACTTTCTCCCCTCATCTGACTTGTCAAGATGCAAGCTTTATGCCATCACATTACTTCACCCTTTGCCCCTGGTACCATCCAGGTCTCCCATTTAAAGTCACTAAGAAATGCTTTCTGCCTCCTAGGGGCAAAGAGCTTCATAAATCAGTACTGGTTTGGAGGAGACATATGGGGCTCAGTGTTGTGTTTTCTTTCAGAGTTCCCCACCTCAGTAGCAACCATGAGGAGGGTGTAAGGAAAAAAGTGACTACTTTTCAAATCTCAGAGCAGCTAGCGCACCGACACTTTCACCTGGCACCTCTGTGCACTCAATTGTGAGCTTTGTGACCCAGGTGTCACCTAGAAGGAGGATATCTCATCACAAGATAACTGTGTCACATGGCAGGAAGAAGAGTACATTGTGTATCAAACACCTATGGAGCAGTTAGCAATGCATAAAATCTAAGTTCAAGTCAGACAGGAATGTGGATATTAAGAGCAACCAATTTCACAGTCCTGGTGCTTTCAGATATAAATTGTATCATGTCCTGCCAGCTGGATTTCTTACATACACATTCAAGTGTAACCAACTCCCTTATTACTGCATCATTAAAAACATTAGAATCAAAACAGAGAGGACAGAGGAGAGGTAGGGGGAGCATCTATGGTTTGCAAGGAACTGAAACTAAGCCTGGACTACAGATCAGACAGGAACTTATTTCCTCCAGAAAATGCATGTTTCTCCATTGTCAAAGGACAAGGATACCTCCCAGACATAATTCCTACTGAGCACAAACAACAAAGAAGTTTAATTATGAGTCTGACCAAGTGGAGTATCTCTGTTTGGAAAATGTCCTAGCCATTTCTAATTGCACAGGCAGGTTTCACTCACCTATCTGAAACAGAAAGCTTCTCTTTAGTCCTATTTCTAGACCTGAACTACCTTAGCATGTGAAAATAAAGCATCTTCTATTTAAGCAGGCTTAGGTAAGGAGTCAGGGACAAGCAACAATCCAAGAATCCAATAACTGACATACAGCTGAAAAAACACCAACTGTTCTGACAGGGTTGGAATGGGAGGGGAATAAGAAAGTCAGGATGACTCAGTGTCACCTTCAGTTATTACATGGCATTTGTGTGAAAGCTGGCTGACCTCTTGTCACCATTTTAATGTGTAAGCCAGAATGTCTTGCTAACAATTTTTTTTTCCTTTTGTCTTGCTAAATATTTTTTTGCCGAGAATGAAGTAGGTCAATGTCAATGTAGCTTCTGGACTGCAACAAAAAAAAGGCTTCTCAGAGATTTCCCTGGTGTGAGTCTACTGACAGGTGGGGACACAAATTAAGTTTTGCCATTTCTGTGGCCAGCTTCTTGGCTGAGGAACAAAACTCGCTTCCACCTATACCTGTATATTGGCAACAGATTTGTTTGTGGGGACAGGCCTCAGTGGATGAACATTTTAAACTTGTTTGGCCTATCTGAATCAGAGGCAACCATCCCTCAAATAAACAGAAAGTGAAAAATGCAATGGAACACCCAATTAATGATTGGAGAGAAGTTCAAAATAAGCAGCTCTTAGTTTAACCTTCTGCAGCCTGTAGAAGTGGACGGGCACATCCTCCAGCAGGCAGGACTCCTTAATGAACTTCAGCACTGCTTCCTTAGCACTCAACCCTTGCTGTTCTTGGTGCATCTCTGGGGCATGTTTCAAGATGTAGTCGCTCCCCCTCTTTGCAATTATCTAAACCACAAGGAAAACAAACAGGTCAGCAACTCTTCAGCAATCCCCATGGGAGGTGGCTGCAATCAACAGCAAAGCAGAGACTGGAGGTGGAGGAGGTTCATATGGTCCCTCAAGATGTTAGTCCACATTCACCTCCACATCCCTGGAGGATTAGCATTTAAAGCAGCCCAGATGATACCGATGTCTCCAAACAGATCCCAGATGGCAAAATCATCACAGACCAAGACTAGAGAGGCTGTGTCAGCTCTTTTAATTTTTAAGTACTGGAATTAAGTTTTCCTAACTCTTGGCATCTATAAATGCTTATGGGCAGATAACAATTACTGCTCTGCATGCCAACACAATCAACAGCAACATCTCCAAACACTGCAGAAATGCTAGGTGGTCCTTTTAAGACCAGAAACTGCACATGAGGCTTATTTTCCATCCTCAAAGGATAACACTATCTCAAAGGATAGTACTATCTCAAGGTATTTTTTTTATCTGTCAGGAGCGGTTGGCAGGCACGTGGCTTTGCTAAGCAGTAGAAAAACCCACACTAGTCCTTTTGCTCCTGCCCTACAAGTGCCCAGTTCCCATGTTTGACAACATGCCTTCTTCATATAAGGCAGACTGGGCCCCTCTGGTGCCAGACTGGCCCCTTCCAGGCTGTGAGTGGCAATAACAGGGAATAGGGGTGTTGGCTGAATTCACTTCACAAAATCTCCCACCATTAGAGGCATTTAAAATTAGATCCCACCAGGTACTAGAGAACATCCTGCCATGAACAACCTGCCCTGGCTCAAAACAACCAGACCCCATCACGACCCTGTTCCAACTTCTATTTTATATTGAGGCCCTTGTTTACTCTGTTTGGTAACACCTCTGCCCTCCTCTGCATGCCTTGCCAGATCAGTTGCCCTCCCAGGAGAAAGGCGGGGCTCAGCGAAGGACATCGATGCCATCAACTGTGCAATGTCAGCAGAAAGAGACAGGCCAGCTCCACAGTTCAAAGCTGCGTTGATCGCCCCAGGGCAGCACCACCTCTCCTCGGTAGCAGGACGCTTGGGGCAGCCCTCGGCCAAATGATCTAGCACAGCACGTGTTGGAGGAAGAGACTGCGTTGGAGGAGGAGATCACTTAGTCTCTCCTCATGGGAGCCCGGGGGCAGGGAGAGAAGCGTCCCCATGCGTGCCAGATTTTGCTCTTTGTAATGATGTAATAAATTACCCACATACTTGCTTGGGGTTGTGGCTCAGCACAGGTGAGCCAGGCTTTGCCTTGGCTTTTGCAATGTTTGCCAGATGAGCAATAGTTTCTGATAAGACTTTTAACTGCCCCAGAAATGGCACACATAAGACCAACCTTTTCCAGCCCTTCATTAGCTACCTCCTGCCAGGCAATCCGTAGCAAGGAACAGAATGGGATGAAGGCCTGTTGTCTTGGAGAAAGGCACATTTCTGCACAGCAAGGCAAACAGGCTGGGACTCGTGCGTAAAGGAAACACTACCAGCCTTGCCTCCTCAGTGCTCCCCCTGTCAGTGCTCTGAATCTTCTCCCCAAAGCAGTGGACAGTGCCACCTTTCAGAGCATGCAACTCGCCTGGGGACAAGCAGCTAACTACCAGAGGCATATGAGCTTTTGAACAGCTACCCCAAGGTGTGAGCTGGGCTAAAATCCACTGTCACAGCAGAGAAGGGGGCTCCAGAACTAAATCAGGTTGCAGAGGAGGTTCTGTCCAGGTCCCAGGGAACATCCTGCTTCAGCAGATATCAGAGTTACAGTGATGTGTCTGTGGCAAAGCTAGCTTCCCTTTATATTTTCATGGACAATAAAGTGTTTATCAATAGTTTTCTTGACATTTCACTACAAGAGGAGAACTCTGCAGGTAACCAGCTCTGTCAGTCTTAGCTAATTTGCCTTCATTTGACAACTAAACCAACTTTTGGCTAAGCTGTTAAAGTATTGAAGGGCACCAAGCTGATATGCACAGGCTTATAAACAAACATGCAAACCCATTTCCAGGCCCTTCCCTTTCCTCTTACTGCAGTTGAGCCAGAGATTAACGACAAAGCAAGTACAAGAGGCACTGCACAGTAGTAGTACCCCTTAGGGTTTGGGTCTATCCATCCCAGAGGTAAGCATGACAGAAATAGGAACAAAGGGCAATGACTCGGCTTTGCGGCCCTGAGGTTTTCTGTAGAGCTTAGGTTGTCTAGATCTTGCTGATGTACAACTGCAAACACACAACCCTTTAAGCCATAGAATACTTAAAAACAGCTGCACTGTTGGCATTATTAATTTGATACCAACACATTCCCTTACCAAAGAAGGGTACACACCACCCACCTCACTGATGAGTGAGCCTAGGAGGAATGGGCACCTACATCTGGTGGAAAGAGATAGGTCCTGAGGGAAATTCAAGGTGATGCTCTCTACCACTCTGCCTGATCACTGCAGTTAGAACTGTGGAAGTTGCATGGCTGCAGTTAGGTATCACCTTGATATAGCTCCTGCTGCGTGCACAATCTGTTGTCAGAAAGATCCCCCAAAACTTACCCATTGCGGGAAATAAGCCTGAGGTTCAAAATATCTGCCAGTATGGACCTTCTCCCTGTAATTGCCCAAGTCTGCCTGTAAGCTGTAGGCAGCCAGCAAGAAGTAGACTTCTTCTTTGTGGTTGCACCGAGACATAAGTACTTGCTCTTTGAGATGGCAGTAGTAGAGCTGCCGTGCCACCTTATCACTGCAAGACACAAAGGCAAATTTACTTGAAGAAGAAAAGAAAGTTCAGGCTCAGATAAGGCCCCTCAAACATATCTTCCTTCTGAGAGGAAAGATTAAATTTTGGCATCCCTGATGCGTGCCAGTACCACTCTGATAGTTATGTGTACGTAGGGAGCACCAAGCCAAGATCAAGGTCTTTTCCCACTAAGTGTTGTACAAACATGGGAAATGGTAGCTTCTGTCTTAAGAAGCATGAGATCTAAGAAGTTAGGGCAGAAAACAGATGAAAGAAAAATCATGTCACACCTGTTTTGGAGACTGACTACATAAAGCACTTCTGTTTCTCTGGAAAACCTGCAGCAGTTAGGAGAGTCAACTCCCTTGAATCCCAGTCCTGTTTCTTGTACACCTGTCCTCCTTTCCCCTCTAAACCTGGCACTGCTTTTTCATTTCACCTTGCCTTAGGCTCAAGGTACTTTTCAACAGCTAATTCCCTGCAAGATAGATCAAAAGACACAGGAGCCTTGGGCTTGTTTTTGTCTTCTTGCTCAAGCTGCTAAACAGGGATAGTCTGATAAGACATAACTATCACGTAGCATTGATAACCCACACACCCCCTGCTGCAAGAGCTCATGGGAAACAGGCTGCTGACATGTATGTCTAGATGAGGTGCTGGGCACTATAGCCTGCTCATGAAAGTGTGTGTGTGTTTGCGTGCACGTGTAGTTTGAAGGGGCCATGTAACTACCTCTGCATGGTCCCACAAACCTCTCCCATTACTAGTGCAAGAGGAAGTTGCTTGTGGCACTAAAGGATGCGTACATCAGGGGTGGTAGAACGACATGCAATCTCCCTTTGTACCTAAAAGCAAAACTAAGTAAAAAAACAACAGCCAAAAAGACTCCAGAAGTAAGACTCCCCTGTATCCAACATGAAAGACTTACGGAGAGAGAAAAACAAAAACACCACTAAACTTTGTTCAAGACGAGAACAAATGCCAAAAATTTGGTAAAGATTTTAATCCACCCAAATGATCCCAGCGCTTGGCTTGCCCCAGGGTCACAGCCACGCCAGAAGTGCTGATACAAATTAACTCTGTCAGTTGCTCATTTTCAACTACCTCATCCTTTGTTCTGTACTGCAGTGAGGGTGGTAGTGTTTTGAGTGCAGCCCATATTCCATGTGAATGGACTACGAATGCAAAACTCTAACTTATGAAGTAATTTCTTTTGTCCATTTACAAAAGTCCATTTTCAGACTGCACAGAGCATTGTTCAGATACAAATGTCAGATCCAAAATTATTAGCACGTGTTCTGGAGTATAAACAGCTATTTTTGGTATATTCATCTGATGCTTTGCATACAACCAAAAGACGCAAGCAAAAGAGTGTTAAATGCATTTTGATGCTGTCATCATTCAACCTGCTTTCTAAACACAGATGGAAAAGCAATCACAATTTTCCTAGGAAAAAGGAGTATGATTCAGAGGGAAAACATTCATGGCTGTGTGAGGAAGTGTGTGAAGGTCTTAAAGTCAAGCTGATTTTTTTAAGCTTATTTCTGAGCTCACAGAGATGAGCTTAACAAAGCAGCATTGCTTTTCTTGCCTTTTAAGAACACAGCAAATAATTTAAAACACAGTAACTACTACAGAAGGGAACTTACCTTATTACTCTTCCATTTTCTACATAGTATTGTACTCTAAAGAATGCAACAAAAGGAGGGGTGAATTTCTCTGTTCCCTAGAGCAGAGACAGAAGACAAGTTAGAAAACATTCAGCATTCAAGATTCCCATTACCCTGTCTGGTAATGTTCTCTTCTCCCAAGCTTGCTCCCCATGCTGCTTTTCATTTTCTGCTGTTGCCAAGTTTTAGAGGGGATCTGACTGTCTTGGAGGCTCACAACAATAAGGCATCATAAAACATTTAGACAGGCTGAATGGCAAACATCCAAGGGAGGGCAGAAGATTTTGGATGGGGACGATAAGCAGGTATAAGAGTCCCAGTGTAGCCTGGGGATGCCCAGCCTGGCCCAGAGTTACCTGTCTCAGCACCTGGCAGCGCTGCAGACGCATTAGCGCAGCAAGTTTAACAGAGCCTCCCTCAAAGCAGGAGGTAAGGTGGCTTGGCAGCGTGCCACCCTGGCACGGCTGCGGCGTCTCCAGGGCACACCTAGGAGTAACCAGCCATCGCTGAGCCACACCACATCACTCCCGCAGGGACACACGAGCTGCTGCGTTCAGCATTTATTGCCCGAGGCTGAAGCGCACCAGCCTGATATTAACTCCTCGCCTTTTGTTTGGCAGGGCTAATGTTTAGTTATTCACACCTTCCTGCAGCCACAGACCAAAAGGAGACATTGATGTCTGCTTCACACTGAAGATGGCTGTTAGAAGAAAGCCAGCAAGACTTCTGTTGTTTTAACTAAAGCCTACCTTTCAGACTTACAGGCTTGTTTAAACAGGAGAAAAAAGAAAAAAAAAAAGAAAAAAAAAAGGAGCATCTTATCTTACTATCTCATTCTCCCATCTTTCCTACTTTGACACTCACTTCTTTAATGTTCATACAGGTAACTGCACACCCGGGCAGTTCCAAGGCTGGTCAGATCCATCTCCCTGGGACAAGGTACATGACATGCCATGCACATCCGATGCAGACAGCAACTTCTTGATCGTCATGCAAATATTTACATTTTATCTCTGGAACTTGTTCATAGTCATCCTGTTATATCTGCTGGACAGTGCTTTCCACCTGAAACCTCTTCATAGGAATAAAATCCCTGTCTGCTAACCCAGCCTGATAGCCTAACTCCTCTCAGATGTCAGTACTGCCAATGGCAACTCATTCAGCCTTTTCTGATTCACCTCACACCAGAGGTTTGACACTTAGCCTGACTTAAGAAGCGTTGCAAGAATCCAGCCTCAAAGCAACCACAAGGCATACCCCATCCTGAGGTAACCAGAAACACCTGCCTCAGGAAGCCCTCACTGGCTGGACACAGCCCTCCACACAACTGATAGCTCTTTGAAGTAATCCTCACTTGTCTGGGAGAAGCAGTATGGGATAAGAGAGATCCCCAAACCTCACTAGTCATCTGCAAACTTCCCTAAGTAGCAGAAATGTCAAGCGTGCCTACTCTGCAAAAGAAAACCCTTAAGGAAGGTAGAAGTCATAACAAGCTAATTAAGATATCTGAACATAATTGCATACTATACTTCGTTTTAGACTGTGGCTCCTCTAACAATGACACACACAAAACAGGCATTATCACGTCTGAATGACTGGCCCTAAACAATTACATAAGGCTTGTCTTTATTTCACACAGCTGTCCTCTCCCTTGACAGGGCTGACTAGCCTTAAAGAACCAAGACTCTTCTCAAACAACATATCCATGCTCTTGCTCCACTGTCCTTTTGCATGCACTCTGGAAGAGTCACTGCTCCAGACCTCTCCCTCATAACAGGTTCAAGTCACAAAGGGTCATTTTAGGCTGTTCTGCTTAAGGATAACAATAAAGTCTCCAGACTCTTCGTGGGCTCAGCTAAGTTCAAAAGGAAGACTGACCAACTGACCCTCTCCACTCCTGTAAGCAGTAGCCCTGTGGCTACATTGCTCAGGTAAAGTTGTGTAAGGGGCTGTTCTCGCTCTTTTAAGGAATTGTACAGCCACGCACAAGTCACTGCATCTTGCTACTGAATAGCATTCTGCAGACCATCTTCAAGAAATGCTTTATGGACCTGAGTTTAAGAGCTTTCTTTTCACCATGTACTCCAGTAGCAAAGCATTAGCCTCCAAAATTAAACATCTGTCTTACTTTGGTTGTCTCTTTCTTCCATTCCTTTGAAAAGTATTTGCTAAGCTTCTGCTCCAGGTCTATAAAGACATACTCGTTATCTGAAAGACAAGAGGAAAAAGCATTTAGTGTTAAAGAATTAGAAATTCATGTTCATCAAATACTTCAGTGACTATACAAGTTTTTTCCAAGCAATACACTTTAAAACAAAGCTGACCAGTGAACAGAGAGGGCAGGGAAAAGAGAAAGGACCAAGTCTCTTTAAGTATGTGTGCTACTCCAGACAGTATAAAAGCAAAGTTAGCTGCGCCTTGATGCAAGAAATGCTAAGCTAAAGTTGCCCAAACGCCTTAACCAGAGATGCAGAATTCTTGCTTTACAAGCAAGAAGCCACCTACAGAAGGGAAACATCATCTTACCAAGCTAATTGTACTGTCAGTTTAGTGGATTCAGTTTTTTTATTATTATTGAACAAGCAAGCCCTACCCAAACTTCCACTCCACTATCATGTACCACCATAGTCCAATGTGGCATAAGCAAATGGACAGTCAGGTATTTGACAGGTTTCACCCTCTACATATGAATGGGGTCCTCTGAAATGGTGAGAAGGAGGAAGACCAAACTCAGATGCCCTCCTCAGAAGGCCTGGTGTCTCCTGCTCACATCCAGCTCCTTTCACAGAGCAAAAAGATGAATGAAAAGAAGGGAAACCCAGGCCTACCTCAAAAGACCAGGACTTACCCAGGTGAGGGTGAACTAGAGACAGCCTAAACAGCACACTGTATTGAAAGAGCTTTGTGCTGTTTTCAAAGCCAGTGTTTTGTAACACTGCTTCCCAGTTATCAAATCTAAACAATTCAGCTAGTGAGAGACTTTTCTCTGCACTTTCTCAAGTCTCTCAAAAAAAGACCCAACAAGTGTTTCAGGCTTTAGCAGCCAGGCCAGCTGAGCACATTCACCTGACCAGTCCCTCTAGTCTTTGATCTTACCCGGGAAGGTGTTTTGACAGGTGACATAAGTGCCAGGTTGAAGGGGGGGGGGGGGGGAAGGAAAACACAAGGAAAAAAGAACAACAACCTTCTGCCCCTGAAGACCAGCCCAGGATCCCAAGCTTTAGCTTTTGCTTTCTAATGTCAAACAAAAACAAAAAAGGGAAGGCAAGAACAGAGGTGATTTCTTTTCAATGGAAATTTAGAACCAAATGAGAGCCTGCACTCGGGTCTGCACAGCAGATAAAGAACTGGCAGAGGCCAATGTAACAGCAGGTATACAGGGGGGCTGTGAACTACCTCACCACCAACCTCCCAGAGCATTCCAGTTCCTTAGAGGGGCAGATAGAGCAAATACTTCCTTTGCAATCTTCTAAAAAACAAGCAAGCAAAACAACCCCCTATCACCACCCCCTTCAGCTCCCAGCTCAAGTGAGAGAAACCACACCTGGTGTTAACCAGAATTAGTCCACACACCACACTAACAGGAAGCCTTGTGAAAAATACCAGTAATATTGGATACAAATAAAGAGAACAATCCCTAATCTCCTTTCTCTGTAGTCTTCCCTGCTGATTACAGCTGTAATTTAATAGCATTGTTGAAACTGCTGTACACAAATTCTGAACATTTTAGTGGTGGGAATTAAAATGCTGTAGCACACAAGGTAACACAGAAGTTGTTTTGCTAATTTGACAAGGAGAGAAAGAGGTTTTGGCATCAGAGACTGCACCTTGTATCCATTTCTTCACATGCCTGCTAGATAGGGCATCTGGGGGACTATGCTGGCCCCAGCCCTTGCTTCTCTTAAATGCATTAAGATCAGATAATGTTGCCTTGAAAATGTTGATACAAGTACTAGTCAATGATAGAGATGGGTTTGGTCCATCTCTTGGACTTGTCTCTGTCCCTTGTCAGCTGCCAAGCTGATAAGCATCTCTCTGTAAAGCTTTTCTTAAAAAGTAAATAAAAACTTATTTAGGAAGCAGCTACACAGCAGTGGGATAACATAAGCATGGCACCCATTCTCTCCCCAGGCTTCAACAGTCCCAGGGCAGGGCACTGGTTCCACTACAGGCTCCTGCAGCGGGACTAGGGCTGCTCCCAATGGCACAGCAGCACTGGGTAAAGCCCGTATCGGTTCTGCCAGCACCACAGTGTTTAGCTGACATCTTGGAAAGAGGGCAGGGAACCTGTACAGCTGTAACAAGCTGTGGGGTCAGTTTTCCCTTCTCGATCAGAAGCAATCCTGTGCCCAGAGGTGTTTATACAAATTTGTGCATTATTCCTCAGCCACAAGGGAAAGGTGGCAACAGCAAGCACAGAGATATACCCTGAGCCATCCCATCACACATGAATACTGGGACAGAAAGGGGAAAAGGATGACAGGACAGTTCCACTGCAGTAAAGCCATTTGCTACCCACAGCCTCTATTTATCTCTGTCATGTGGATTAGGTTAGAGATGATTCTGGGAGGGCCCAGATGCCAAGTCTGAGGACTCCAGGTCACTATCATGCCTACTGAGAGGTGCACATCAATCCCAAGAATAAGCCAGGATAAAGGAGGAGACCCCTATGTACCAGCTCTCCCTGGGGTCCTGCTCCTCCCCAGCACAGCCCAGCATCCTCCCCATCCTCCCTCCTGTGCAAGAATGCAGCGCTGCATTCCTGCCTTAATGAAGTTAATATTGCTGGAATGTCAACCAGCAGTGTAAGCCATCTACAAAAACAAAGAGGTTATTTCCCTCCCCAGCCCTACATGAGTTGTGAGGTTTGGGTTTTTTTTTTTTTCCCTTAAACTGGATTAGTGGTGAAACTTAAGAGATCTTTTGCCAGATGCTAAAGCTGTCTCTGGTTGAAAACAAGCATCTCTAAAAGAGATGAGGGCACCAAATTGCAGCACTTCAGAGCAGTGCTGTAAAGGACTGTACAAAAAATGCACAAATGGCTGTCTTTCCAGGGAAATGTCTGACCTGTGGATCCAAACAGGGCTGAATACTCAGCAGGTACAAACTGTCATTGCTTCACTGGCCTTAGCTGAATGACAACTGAGAAGTACTAAGAAGCTGGCTCAGAAGCATGCATACATGTAAATACACATCCACCAGCAGCTACTGACACTGTGTTCATGAATCTTGTCTCAGCGCTGGCAGTGAGCTTAAAAATCTATCACATCAGATTCTCATAAGGTTCTCTTATGTATGTACATACAGATACCAGACCTGGCACAACACACCAGTGCACTGCACTGCAATCCCAAGAAATGCATCCGGACAGCCAGCTAGTTTGCAGTAATGTGTTTTAAACATTTCTCCCAATTTCAAGTTTTAAGAGCCCTCAAATGAAATGGGAAGTTTGTGCTGTAAAAATCTTGCTTCAAATTAAGCAGCCACCAGAAATGCAAAAATTCAAGCACTCCTACTCTGCAAAATTAGCTTAGCATATTTACATACTTAGGTAAATATAGGACATGCTTTGTTGGAAAAAAACAAAAACCAAAACACACCACCAAAAATAAGGGCAGATCTCCAGCCGGGAAAAGGTGACACAGTTCCAGTGAGTGATGCAGATTAACAATAGGCATTATTTACACTGCAGGGAAAACTGGAATAGAAAATTATGGCTGTAATAAAGGATCAAGTCAGTTCTGAGTCATTGTTACTTTAAAAGCCATTATTTTGCATTAACCAGTGCCTCACCTTTCATAAAAAAGGAAGTGGGAAGTTTGATGCAGAAAAGCTTAAGTAATGGTGAATGCCCATAACCTGTTCTCCTCCTGTGCCCATTTTGGTCTAGGAACACTGAATAATTCCACAGAGGCAAGTCCTGTCCAACCAAGAGGCAGAGCTCAGGTCCCATTGGCAGCAAGGAGTGTCCCATTAGCTCCTTTGGTTGAGTCAAATACATTTTAATATTATAACTAAATTATTTAGACAGTCCAGAAGATTAGGATTCAAATAAAATATGAATTAGTGCAAAGCCAAGCTTCCACATAGCAAGCATTTTCTGCCTTAAAGAGAAGGGGCTATAGTGCTTAACTTCTCCCAGCTGCAAAAAGCCTCATGGCAACACCACTATTTCTCTTGAGAGGGAACAGGAAAGAGACTGGGAGCAGAATAGAGGGATGCTGGGGTGAGAGCAGAGCTAAAGCTTAAAAAAAACATTGCTCAAAAATACCTCACAACACATGGTGTAGACCTCACATAACCTGTTTAGCTTCCCTGAATACCAGCATAGATTTTTTTTGTTTGGTTGTTGAAGAAAAGCCAGCTACATACTCCTTTTGCTGTGCTGCTGGCCTGAGACCATCACTATCCACATGGCATCTGCTCCCACCACCTCTATATAACTTCCCGATGCTCCTGGTGTCACTGTTCAAGCCAACAGAAAGAAATCTTGTCCACTTTTCAGTAGTACCTGGTTGATTAGTTTATTAAGGGCTCTAGAACAACTTGGTTCAGGATAACCTTGTATTTTTAGCTTTAGCTGGAAAATACATGTATCCCAAGGGAAGAAGAGCCACAACAGAGGCTGGGAGCATAGCAAGGGAGGTCCTGTCTGAGGTCACTTTACCTGGGATGGACAGAAGAATGAAAGGAGGCAGTAATCAAGGAGCCCAAGGTTGTGTGGCTGTTAGGAACTGTTGAGGTCTGACTGAGATAAAGGCTCAGTCATTCCTGACAATGGGTAAGTACTGCAGGAATTTTATGTTGGCATCTTACAGTTAGCAACAAGGCATGCTCAGGCAAAGATCTTTGGACTTTTGGCAGTGTCACAGGGGATTCTTCTGCCCAAGAAGAGCTGCAGTACGATTTCCAGCACTGCTCATCCAGGAGCAAACAAACCCCTTGCAATTCTCAAGTAGGAGAAAACTTGGCTGGATGTTGTAGTGATGCTGATAAAAAAACAACTGACAGCAGGTACAGGCAAAATAATGTTTTCCTAGGAAGGGACCATGCAAGTACTTGCAAAGAATACTATATAACTTTTTGAACATCTGAACCCCTGCAATTCCCTCTAGGTGGCACATTTCTGCACATGTTTTTCTTACACTGCATTTAACTCATTTGAGGTATCAGCATCATTTTGAGAGCTGTATCTTAGGTTAGAATACAGAAGAAATCTGTAAGGGAGATGCAACTATCAAAGCAGATTTAAGGGAAAAAAGGCAAAAGCTGGGGAAAGCAGACAGTGGGGAAGGATTGGGGGTATAGAAATCATCAGAGAGTATTTTGGAGAACTCCTGTTGTCATCTGTCTTCTTAAGAGACCCTTTGTTATAATAGATACCCACGTAATATAACATGGTAACGTATTCCATCCATGAACTTCAGTAACGGAGAATACACAGATGTGGAAGAGTTAACTGGAGACAGAGTGGTCTTGGCAGAGTTAACTACCAAGTTCCTCGCTACTAAGTGTGTGCTGAGGCATGGGTCTGGCAAGGTGAACAGCCATAGCTGTAATAACTGAAGGATGATCCATGAGGCAGGGGAGCTGAAGCAAAGAGGTTTGGTTTTGTTAGAAAACCAGTCTGAGAAACTGATAAGAGGACACAGAGACAGGAGCAGGGTGCAGGAGCTGCAGGCTTGCTCCTTCCCAATCAAAGGCTTCCATCTCCTTGGGTCAAACAAGGTTTGCTCCTGGAAAGGAGAAGCCCAAGACTGGGGATTGAAGGGATCTAGGTTATAACAACAAAGAAGGCCTGGCTGTTCTTTGTCTGCTGACAATCAGTTTTGTTTTAGAAGACTGAATTGTTATCAGAAAGTATGCAGCAACACAAGAACGAAACCTCCCACGGGCCACTAGATAAGGTTGACCCTGCAGAAGGAACTGCAATGTAAGACCCAGCTGCTGAAGCCTATGGAGCCATCTTGAACCTGGCAAGATTACAGGGTCTTTCACTGAGGAAAGTATGAGGGGAAAAAAAAAAAGCCCTGCAGCAGCAGCATGCAAGGTATAGCCTGCTTGACGATCCATGACAAAACTAGAAGAGCAACATGTCCCAAGCTTTGTGCCAGTGTGGCCTCCCATTAATACACACTCCGAACTCAATTTTCAAAGTGATCAACTACTTATAGACACAAGCTTTTTTCCCCCCAAAATACAGTTGGTTGAAATAGTTTTCATCTTGAGAATAAAAAGTGCTCAGGAGCAGAAGGGGTAAAAAATTCTGTCCTGCCACCATTAGCATTACCTTAAATCCTGAAGCTTGCTCTCAGCATCTGAACAGTCAGAAGTGAGGGCAATGTATTTAGGCAATGAATGCTGGAAGACACACTCCAAAAACCACAGCTTAGATCTCACAGCATTCATGGTTTGCAGTCTGCATGGTACTTTGTGATGCTGTTTTCATTTTTGCCATGCTCAGGGGTTAAACTTCAGTTTATGATTAAGGAGCCCAACCTCTCCCCCTCACACATATACTATGAGACCAGTGGAGCATTAGTGTATCTGTACAACCTCTTGCAGGTCAAACGGGCTCCTAATCCAGATAATCCACCCAGTGTGATTGGTTACAGTTACAGTAGAAATCCTTTAATTTTCATTCTCTTGCCACTGCTGACAGTCAGTGTTTTGTTGACAAATTAGTAGCAAGGTAATGGATGCAGGTAGATTAGAATACCTTGGTCTGCATGGAGCAGCACCAGACCAGCAAAAATAAATATGCATTAAGAAACAGGGAAATACATCCTTATTAAAACAGGACAGTTGTTTCTTAAAAAATTACATCTTAGAGCTGCAGCACAGAGAGGTGAAACCATGATGCAGTAGAGGAATACTTTGGTGTGAAATGCACAGGCTTCCTCTCCAGTTTCTAGATATCCAGCCCACTCTCACCCTGCAGACCAGCTCCCAGCCTTCCCTCCACAGCCTCTGCAGGACATACACTGACTTGCTGCCTGCCCAAGGCAAGCTGACTTAAGTACCCATAAATCGACTCTAGGCAATGCAAAACTTACCCAGGTCTCCCTACAACCTGACTGGACTGCTGCTCTTTCTTGAGATGATAGCTTGCTGTGAAACCAAAAATCCCTGAAAAGCAGACAGTGCCTTAAAGGCTAATTCCAAATGCTAGAGATGGAGAGTGCTACGTTTGCAACAGAAGCAAGAGCTCACTTACCACTGGCAGCAAGGGCAATCACCAGTTTGTTGACCAAAACAAGGTGGGGGGAAATCAAATTGAGGAACAGAAAGCAAAAGACTTCATTTGCTACAGCTCTACAGTAATAAACCTGGAGCTATTTTAAAAGCAAAATAAAGAAAACCCTAAAACCCACCCCACAAGACTCCAGTCAGCAGCTTACTGGACTTTCACAGATGAAAGGTAGGGACCAGAGAAGCAACAACAAGCAGACCAGGTCTGCACCCTCTCTTGAGGGTGGACTGCAACCACCCTGGTGGCCATGGCAATTCAGGCTGAGAATCTCACAGCTGATGCTTCTCTGTTGTCTGGCCCCAACAGTTTCTTAAACAGAGGCACAAACAAAAATAAATCTCCTCCTCATCCAAAATCCTGACACCTGCCTGGGTGGCAGAGGGAGATGGCTGTCAGGAGGAGCCAGGGTGAGCCAGAGGAGCCTTCAATTAAGCAGCTTTACAAACAGGGCTACAGCAAGCAGGAGTAAGGAACAGTCAGGAAAACAAAACAAAGAAAAAGCAAAACAGAAGTTCAGGCTACTGGGCTCCTGCAACTCTTTTCCTTAACATTTTTCTAAGAGCTTTGTGAAGAATTAGCTGCTCTAAAAAGGACGAACACTTTTGTGAAGTGAAAATAAAATTGCTTATGTTTAAAGCTATGGGCAATATACTTTAAGGTCTAGTCAACACAGCTTTATTATGCTCTTTGGATTCGGTAGTTACACTGTATTTCCAACAGGCTGAAAGGCATCTACCACAATAGTGTATTTTGGGGCCAGAGCCCCTGTGCTTGACAGGGGGAAGGAAACTGCTCCACAGAAAAGGTGGGAGGGAAGAGAAAAGCAGGGTAGGGAACAGAAAATATGAAACAAGAGAGATATGAAGGGGAAAAAAAAAGTGAAAGAAACACAAGGAGAACAGGAGAAGAGCACCTAATTCAAAGACAATGGGAATGAAATTGCCTTGCTGGCAGGGGAAGACAGAAGCTCCAATTTCACCCAAGAAGTCCTGCAAGTGGAATAGGCAAAAACTGGTGTTATGAAAAGGCAGTGGAGGAGGGGACTCACAGAAGCACAGTCGATTTGTGGAAAAAAGTTAAAAGCATTCAGGTCTTCCTCACAGTAAAAAAAACCCACCTGCTTTGGCTTAAATGCACAGATATATTTGTTAGCTACTGGTTTAGTTACATTGATGGAATCTCTTGGAGACACTACAAACCGTATGGAGATAACAGCTTACACCAGTCTTGCTCAAAAAAAAGCAGAAGTGCAGACAATGAAAACAGAAAGGAAATAAGATAAGCAAGCTTAAAAGAAATATTTTATCCCGCATACTCATAAGGAGGAAAAAGAAACCTTGTTTAAAGGACTCATAAAAGACTATTTCCATTTTAGTGAAATAATATCTAGAGTTGCAGCAATAAATAACAATACACCTTTGAAAAATGTTGGAGGCAAGAAAAGTTCTTTCCACACTTTTGGAAATGTGGGGAGGCAGGATAAGGACAACAGATCCATTTCTAATTACCAAGAGTTAGGTTGGGGTGGAACGTGCCAATGCACACACCATCCCAGAAATGTAATATCTCATATCAGTTTGCTCTGTTAAGGCATCATCTTACACTGCTCCCTGGTCCTTAATAAGCTGTAGGTCCAAGCAGTCTGGACTTCAACCCACAGACTAAGAAATTTTGTATTTCCCATGTCGTATTTCAAAACCTAGTGTCCCCCCTTCACGCATTCAGTCCCCTCAAACCATTTGAGTTTCCTCCCCCTGGTGCCACATTCTTTTCGTGTGACTTCAGGAGATAAGTAACACTTTCAGCCCCGGAGTCCCTTTAAAATTCACCTCCTGTTCAACTACTGACAGTTTTGAATTCAGTGACAAATATGTTGGCTAGCAACTCAGCTACAGGAGAGAAAGAAAACCCCACAAAGAGGTGGCAAGGAAGAACAAAGCAGCAGAACAAAAGCCCCCCCTTCTCCCAATTTGTCTGCCCACATACCAAAGATCAAAAGAACTCCGAGAAGCCTGTGCATAATCTACATACTTTGTGACCTTATTACAATCAAATTCCCCGCAGGCACGGCCGCTGTGTATATATGCACACACTGTAAATACACAAGCGGGTCTGTGGACGTTTGCCAAGTCATTTGCTCCATGCATTGAGTTTGCTTACTTTTAACAATGCTGAGGCCAAAGAAGTGAGGCTCTTTAATCTTCACTAAATCACAAACTTGCTGAAAGAGCTCCTGTCCAGTGGCTTTGACCTGAAAGAAACAACCAATCCAGCATTACAGATGGCTCACACACCTGGATGGAGCAAGTCTCCTTCTTTACATTGGCCAAAACATTTTTGGGTACCATAGCAAAAAAAAACCCCAACAACAACAACCACCCCCACAGAATAAGCTTTGTTTTCAGTATTATTGCTATTATCACAGATTAATAATCAACATATCAGTCTCCTTTCTTCACAGTGCAAAGTAGCTCAGCTCAGTAAGACATGAATTTAAAGTTTTCTATCTATTGGCATCTTTGTACAAGACTGGAGTGCTGCTGGAATCCTAGCGTGGTGCAGAACTGACCTGGCTATTTATAGGTGCTCTTACAAAAAGTGCGTTTGTAATTACAGAGATGAAAATACTACTCTCTTGCAGGTTATTTTTCTTTTTTGAGAGGCTAAGAGAAACAACAAAAACAAAAATAAAACTTTCATTTGGAAGAACTAAAACCAAAAGTATACAAACAAACCCAAGACTGCATGGTTTGATCAGAAATAGCTTGTGGGTTAAAGATAAGGTTGCTCTCTACCCCACACAGAAGAGCTTGTTCTGTCCTCTGCTGACTTCTGGTCACAGCAATTAACATCTTCATCTTCTGAAGCTGTCACCAATGGCCTGTAAACTCCTGCCCATTTCCATGCCACACTGAGACCCCTGCCCCCCATAAAGCTGTGCCTGCACTGAGGAAGCGCTGGGAAAGTAAGGCTGCCAACATATGCTCCTGCAGGGAACAGAAGCTGGGTAGTATTTGCAAGCACAGCACAGAACACGCTCAGCTCAGCCCCAAGTGCTACCAGCTGCAGCTGCAAAATAGTCCAGAACCTCTGAGTTTGGTTATGCTGCTGCTGCTGGACAATACCAATTAGCAGCAGCCGCCTTCCCGAGCGGTGAACGTGCAGTGCTACCTTCACAGCAGCAAAGATGATGGGGTAGAAGTCGACTACTAAACTCTCCGACAAACTAATCGCTGCCATCAAACTCATTGCCACCATAATTCTTCAAATCCTTTTAAGTACAGGCATGCCACGCTCACCAGAAACCGGCTGCGCTCCCCTCCCTGCCCCAGGATGTACCATGTCACTAGACATGGACAATGGGAAACTGGAGGTCATTTAAGTACTCATTCTCCTCTACCTGACAAGGCATCACTAACCAGCCACTCACTACTGCTTTATCAGGAGCTTTGAAGCCTGCACGACACCAATACACACATGCGTGTGCATGTATGTGCTTTGAGAGGGGAGGAGGTAGTGCACAGTTCTGGTAAGGGCCAAAACCACATCTGGGTCTTATCACAGAAAGGTTTGGGTTGACAAGGGACCTTAAAGATCATCTAGTTCCAAGCCCCCTGCCATGGGCAGAGACACCTTCCACTATATCAGGTTGCTCAAAGCCCCGTCCAGCCTGGCCTGAACACTGCCAGGGAGGTCTCTATGTGAGATTGCACTCTTACAGTCTCACACCTAAATACAGTATTCGCTCAGCTTCCACGAACATGCAGTTGGAAGGGAAAGTTAAGCATGGATTTGCATCCTTGAGAAGGATGCAAGCTCTGAGCATGTTCTCCTACTTGGGAAGTACTCGCTAAGGAAGAAGTGACTTACTCCAGCCAGAAAGGTTATACGCATACAAGAGTCTCTGGCAACACAAGACTTTTACACATGTAAAAGCTATATGATGAGATTTAATTTTTTAAGTGGCATGCTTTCACACCTAAGGGAAGAAAAACCTGCTTTAAGATACTTAGTTCTAGGGAACTGAGCTCTTCAGTGGTTTATGACACTCAGCTATAAATCAGCAATTTAATCGGATTTCTTGCACAGAAAGTATGTGAGCTACCACCTTCTCCATTCTGCTTTTGGCACTTCCTTTCTGTATCAAGTTCTACTCCCAGTCTTCAAAGCTATGCAATACTGATTACACTTGAAATTGCTGTTCCCTTCTCCTGCCTTCCACTCTGCTCAAAGCAACCAACATTTTCCTTTGCATTTTTAATCTGTGCACTTCTCTTCGGCCTTTCCTGCCTTTGCGTATGGTTCCTGTGCCAAGCTCTATCCCAAACAAGCCATGAATCATTCCTTCCCCTGATACTCAGCTTTGTCTCACATCAGACTCAGGGCTTCTTTAAACATGAAATTTAGTCTAAAGTGAAGTTGAGTGCAAGTTTATAAAAAGGTAACTGCTACTCCAGTGTCATTCTGTGTGCAAAATATTCACACATATTGCTTACCGGTCTCTATCCTTCTTGGTTCATATGCTTTAAAACATCAGCTCTCCTGCTCACAGAGCAACAGCAAGACTTCAGACCTATGCCTGTCATTCACCAACACAGAGGACCTCACCAGACTTTCCTCCTCTCAAAAAGTTTCTGCTCACACTCACCCTTTCTCCAGCAGCTAGGCAAGAAGCAACATCTGCTGTGGCTGCTTCTGAACTACCCAAACACAGACAGGGTGGCTGCTGCCCTGCTCCCCTTGTTGGCAGCCAGACCTTCACTACCATAGGTCTCTCCTTTATTCAGCTGCTACCATCCCAGAAAATTTTCAGAAGCCAAGTCATAAAAACTAGGTGATATTGATCAACAGGTTCAAAACTATCAGGGAGATAAGACACAATGCTGGCAGATAAACAAAACTGAACAAACTAGATACAATTCCAAGATCTTTGGTGCAACAGATGCAATTTTTAGTTGCATCATTCTCACTCACAGCCTGCTTAAGCTCCCTGGTGCTCATACCCCATCTCTGCACTGGGGCTGCCTGCAGCAAGGCAGATTGCTTTGCTCTGTGCTGATGTCCCTTCTCCCCAGAAGAAACCTCCCACTTCACTGTCCTCCAGGTGGCTGGTGAGCTCCTCACATTCACAGCTAGTCCAAGTTTTCCTCATTGCCATCCCCTCAAATTCATCTATACATCCAGATAGATGGACACCAAAGTTAATTAACAGATACCCAATTATGGGGGAACAGACTTTAAAACGGCTCCTGCTCTTCTCTTCAAGAGCACTATCTGTGAAGGGCATAAGACAAATTCATTTTAAAGAGCAGGCTTTAATCTACATATGACCACATAAAACACGTATAGGTAAACTCTTATCTGGAAGGGTGGAATTTATATGGGAGGGGGGGAGAAAGGAATTACCTGCATAAACACTGTGCTTATCATGGGAAGGATCTATAATTTATTCTGCTGGAAGGATAACCATTCCTACCTACCTCACTGAGCTGCAAGCTTGTTTAGTATTTGCATTCCACACTGAAGAGGTTAAAAGGCTTTGGAAATCTTAAGTAGTGGCATTATTATTCTAATAAATACACAAAGTATCATCTGTGGTTGTGCTAATTAAATTTGGGTTCTACCAACATCACTAGAAAATTGCCTTGATGTTACTTTAAAAAAAAAAAAATCTCTGCAGCTGCAAAATCTTAATTTTTGTTGTTGTTTTGAAGGGGTGTTGTGGTAAAGACAGAAGCCAAATGAAAACCTGGTTTTGGTGACTTGCCCAGCTGTAACAGGTCATGTTTCACTCTCTATGCAATTAGGACACTGTGTGTTGAGGTTTCATGTTTTGCCTAGGCAGCTATTCCCTTTCACATGCAGGCATCTCCACATACTTATTTTCCTAACTTCCCAGCCACCAAAGCAAGAGGCAGCAGAAATGAGGAAGGAAAATGTCTTTAAAAGGGCTACTGAGGAGTGCTGTGTCATGGACCCCTCCACACAACAAGGCAGTGATGCTCAAGGTGCCCTGACACTTTGAAGGGGCAGCAGGTGGGAACGGGGAGGACCCAGCACCTTTCCTCCATCCCTGCCAGTGACCAATGCAAAAGACCATTTCTTATGATTATTAAATACCCTGGAGGTATTTAAAAGACACATAGATGTGGCACTTAGGAACATAGTTTAGTGGTGGACTTGGCAACATTAGGTTTATCGTTGAACTCAATGATCTTAAGGGCCTTTTCCAACCTAAATGATTTTATGGTATCAAGTGCAGGAAGTATCCAGAACTTACAATATGGTCTAAGAGCTGCCTAAATTTAATACTGTGGAACGTGACCCAGTGGTGGAGGAACAGCCATGTGCCCAGCTCAGGGATGCTCACAGCAAGGAGTGGTGATGGCATCAGCCCTGACGGCATGCTGCCCTCCTGCACGCCAGTCTGCACCTTCCCCATGGCAAGGCAGGCTCTGCTATCTTGGACCTTTAGCCTCCCTGATAAAAGCTATAAGAAGGTGAGATCTAGGGTCAGCCACAACAGACCATTACCCAGGCCTGCTCACCTGCCACCAAGAACTCAACTAAACCACCATTTTGTAGTTTGCACATGAGCCAACAGACTGCAAAAGCCTTCTGGGCTGGTAGATGGGCTGGGTTTGAACCGGTAACCTATGAAGCAGAGCACCCCAGATTTTGGTGTTAAAACCTTGTTCCATCCAGCCTTTGTGGCTGTTTCAGTTAAGGATGCCACACAAGCACAGCAGGTAGGAAAATTCCTACATGGATTTTGAAGATTAGCATGCATAGTTTCAAAAACCACCGTTTCAATCAAGTGCTTAAAATAACCGTTCACCTCAGCTGTCTGCTCCTCCTCCCCATCCCAGAGGGGTAAAAAAAAAAAAAAACCAACAAACAAAGCAAAACTTCCCAAGCCCACAGGAGTGCACACACACGCTCACAAGAGAGCGCTTATCTTTGAGGCTAGCTTGTTGTCTGAACGTGAAGTGCCTCTGTCAGCTCGGTTTCTCAGAAGTTCAAGAAGCAGCTGGTGTTGCACAAAGAGGCACTGCACCATGGTGGACACCGTACCACACTGGGCTGCCAGCTGACCTGGCTCTGCCGTCACTTGCACACACACACTTGGGCATTTGAAGCCGTGATCAAAAAACTTAAGCGACTTAGCTCTAGTTTTTGTGTGTACAAGTACTCAAAGGAGGGAAAAACCCCCCACCCTCAATAGCTGTTTACTCTGCCTTAAAGTCTTTGAAGGGATCTGCAGACTATCAAAACCAGAAACAGATAAAACGCCAGAGCAAACGGTCATGTGTTAGGCACATTTGCTAAGTCATCAAGGCATTTCAGTTTCAGTTTTTTTAAAAATTGCTGGATTATCAGTGGCAAAAATATTCAAGAGAATAAAAAAGAAATAACAACAGAAAAAGAGCAGAGGGGACCCCCCTGTCCAAAACCACAACCGGTACTTTTAAGGAACTCTGCAAATGAGTTGAAGCTGTCCAATTAGAAAACGGGGCACCAATTACCCTAAGCTGGCTAATAGCCTTTCGGTCAGCAGACCAGCACCAGGCTTTTCCGAGAACAATGGGAGTTAACAAAACAGAATTGCAGCCGTGATGCATCGACCTCCCGGCCTCCCTCCCGGCCACTCACCCCGACGACCAGGCTGAGCTGCTCCCGGGTGGGCAGGAAGACGCAGACGCTCCGGCTCTCCGGCTGCATCCTGCCTGCCAGCAGCGCCCTGCTCATGGTGGGCAGCTCCGCGGGGCTGAGGTCTCTTCTCCAGGTGGGCATCAGGCTCCCTTCATCCCATGCACCTGTCAAAAAGGTGAGAGCATCAGTGCCACACTCCTGCCGGTGCTGGGAGCAGCCCACAGCACACGTTTGACAGGACACTTTCCTCCTTGCCGTTTAAAAAAAAAAACACAACAAAAACCACCAAAAAGAACCACATTCATTATTTTGCAGCACCACGGTCAACATTTCCCCCAGCATCACAGCACAAACTGTGCGGAGTCGACTTTTAAATAGCTTGTGAGTCCCAGGAGAGCATCATAAAGCAATCAGGTGTCTCTAGAATAACAAACCTGACTCAAGGTTTCGAGTTGTATGTAAGCGGTAAGGCAGGTGACACCATGGACTGCTTCCAAAAAATGCCCATGAGAGAGAAGGGAGCACCCCGTCAGTCAACCAGGTACCTTGCTTTTGCCCAAAGTGGAGATTTCAGTGAGCCATCAGCAGGTGTGTGTCAGTACAGAGGACTTCATCTGAACTGTCTTCCCCCTCACCCCACCACTGCCCTAAATGCTCTATACCTTAGGCTTAAAGGAAGAGGTGAAAACACAAACTCACAAAGCTGAGGCACTGTCTCATACTTTTTCTGAGACAAGCACTGCCAGTCTCCTCCCAAGGGTTGAGCCCAAGCTGCACGAGCATCTTGGAGCTGAAGTTATGGTTACAACAGAAATAAGAGACTGAAATTCAGTTCACGCCCGAAAGCACAGTAGCCAACATCATCTTCACGTTATAGCTAGGTTAGATACAGTTTCCTCAGCAACTTGTGACACTTTATTTACTGCCCTCTCCCACTCCAATGCTCTCCAGGGCGAGGATGCGCTCTGTGGCACCTGACGAATCCAGCAATAAGGGGAGAGGCTCCTTGAGGGCGAGTTAGGGATAAACACCAGCAGAGACCTGAACCAGAAAGATACTAACTGCTCCATCCCCGTGCAAGATGATGCAAGTCAAACCCTGGCTTTCCTGAACAAAGTCCCCCCTGGCGTGACTCATCTCTACCAGCAACACTGGAACACTCATCATCAACACAGCAACAGAGGTGCTGCTGGCTGACGCCTGCCCACAAAGCACCCCAGGCCCCGGGGACGGGCATAACCCCCAGCAAGGGCAGCCAAACACGGGGGCTCTGGCAGTGCTACGCTCTCCCATCACACAAAGCACAGCCCACCTTCAGCAGACAGGCTGTGAAGGGATGTGTGGGCTCTTCCTTCACCCTCCAAAGTGGATTCAATGACAAGGGATCATAAGCAGCAGGGAAGCAGGTCATGCTATGCTAACACAAGACATACACACATACGTATGTATGTACACGTCCATGAGTGCATTACATATAAGTTTTCAAAGCATTTGGTATTTAAAATCACGTTTGTCCTGTTTCAATGGAAAAATATGCTGGAATCACACTCATGTGTGGAAGATGGGAAAAGCAAACTGTCACGAGAAAACCAACTACACTACAGAAAAAACTTGGATTTACCCCTCTCCTTTCAAGTCTATGCTCAAACATTATTTAAAAGAAAAAAATACAAACATGATCTATAAGTGTCCTTTTGCAAGTACAAAAGCAGTTCCATGCACCTCCTTCCCTGAGCAGGCATATACAGTGCTTCCTAATACAGCATTTTTTGATGCAAGTTATGAGACAGAAGTTTACAAAAACTGCATTTACTGTATTAATGAAAAGAGGGGTTTAGTACTTTTTTTCAAAAATCAGAATTGAACAAGAACTAAGATTTTTAAAAAGGAGATTGCTCTAAATTACAAGAAAGCAGGAAAAGCACATTTGATTTCTTGAAACAGGTAAAAGCTTCTATTAAATGAAATATTATGATAAAAACTCTGATTTATCCTCTCATCAATATAATTATAGCGATGAGCTCTCTTAGGCTCCAGGCTACACACTACTAACAGCTGTATATAAATTACAGATGTCTACAGAATGACTCGAGGGCAACGGGTCACCACTGTTATTGCCAGCTGATGTCATATGCACCATAAACTTTATCAACAGCATAAAGACCTCAGAGCATGAGCTCAAGCTTTCCAACATAAGGAGGTTTGTCTTAATTGTCAAACCACTGCACTGGCCAGCGCACATTCCCCCTCCGAGGGGAGATCACATCCAAAGACATTCATGTGGCTCATAACAGAACTGACAATAGGACACAGAAGCGACCATGACATCTACAGAAAACTGTGTGTATGTGTTTAACTGAAGAAACTGAATCCCACTTTCCCATAGTTGCTATAAAATGAAGCTTCTGGAAAGCTTTTCCTCTGGTCTCACACCTGCTTTGTCCATTTGAATTTTTAAGAGAACAACTGTGGACCCTGGGAGCCAGGAAGTGAGAAAGGAAGGGGGAGAAAGTGGTTTTCTCCTTATGTTTTAAAACAAACGAGGTTGTGGACCCCCCCCCCCCAGCAGGTAAGAGGTTAAAGAAGTCATACCCTTAATCTGAAGGGGGAGGTTAAGCACCAGCGCAGCTCAGCCTTCTCTTCTTTAGAGGTATGCTGGGATGTGATAAAACATTAATCATTAACTTGCTAGTACTGCATGTTTACACCTTAAAAAAAAAAAGTTGTGAGCCAAGAATAACTGCCCAATGAAAACAAGTGGCCAGAAGGAATGCTCTTACTTAAAGATACACTATTTCAGACTGCCCATATGCCATTCTTTTGTTTACCACAGATTCCAACCTCTTAACCTCAATTAAACCCTAAAAGCTCTAGCAAATGCACTGCAGATGAATTAATAAAAGCTGAAGTCAATCATCAGCCTCTGGGACACCCTACAGGTTGTTTTTGTTGGGGTAGGTTGTTTTTGTGTTGTTTTGTTTTTTTAAATAACATCATGTTTTAGTGCCCAGAGACGTGCATTTTGAGATGTAATTGCTTGGTCAAAGGCCCAGCAGTCTATCAATGAAACAGTCAAAGGCGCTATTTATTTGTACTCTTCTGGTGTCAGTCAGGAGGCTTATTAGTGCCCAGAGTGGTAGCATAGCTTATTTAGCACTGTTTATTTTACCGAAACACGTACTTAGCGGAGCTTTGGAAAACGCCTGCCATTAATTTCAACACTCCTCTGATTAAACAGCTCATGGACATACAAAAATCATTAAGAAAAACCCTAATCTTCCCCTCCCCTTTCCACAGCCCCTCAAGCTGCCTCCCGGCACTAGACCAGAACCTCAGCACTTGCTGGGTCAAAGCAGGAATGGCTGAGCTTTGCCCAAGTGAGAGTGATAAAAGCAGCAGAGCCCTTCAAGGAAGGAGGAGGAGGAGGAGAAGGAAGACTTTGGCTTCAGATATCAGTGGGATGGCTACATAAACCACCTCACACCTTCATACACGATAGCACAAGGATGGCCTGCCACCACTGAATCTGGGGCCATGCCACAGCCAGCCTGTCTGGAAGCAGGTCTCATCCAAACATCATGTGGGTTCTCACAGTCTTCTGAGCACTGCTGTATTTTAAACATCAATTTGTGGGACCACAGCAAACTGGGTCCTTTATCATGATTTCAGCCTCTAGGTACTGCCAGAACCACATCTTGAGAGGATAAAGCAAACAGATGAACAAGCAATCACCTACCAACTCAAAGCAGCAAAACAGAACAAAGTCCTCCTCTATCAAGAAAAAAACACAGGTAATTCTGTGCTTCCTCAAAACCACCAGGAAACATTATTTGTAAGGTTTATTGTAGTAAAACATCTTAGGAAAGCTGGTTTTGCTAGAGATGACAAAAAATGAGCATCTTGCCGAGGAAACCTTACCAGAGTGGCCCTACAGAGTCCTATCAAAAACTGTCCAGAAATGTTAAGACTCCTCTTAACATTTTCCAGTCATTATCCAGAGATATCTTAGGCTTCTAAGACAACTAGACTCTTAGGCTGCAGTTTCACAATCAGCTTAAGCAGCTCTAATCAAGGCAGTCCTGCAGCAAGAGAGACAGACAACTGCCTGGAAACAAATCTGCCTTTGGCAGCAACCCACACTTGGGCTGCCTTGTACCCATGATGAAACACAGCCTTAAGGCTGAGAACCCCCCTCACCTTCCAGGTATTCTGTCCCCTCAGAGGCATACTGTAGGGCATCAGTACTCTCTGAAAAACAGTAATAAAGAGCCTGAGCAAGTAAAAGAGGTAATGATTGCATATATTAGCCTTTCCCACCTTTAAGACCCCACCCACCTCCTTTGACTATCCCCTGAGATGATGAAAATTTCTCTGGAACGATGCATCCATCAGGAGGGAGGGGAAAAAAGATGCTTGTCAGGGCAGAAAACAAGACTGAAGTTAAACAGCTTTATGTCATAGCTGCAGATGATGTGAGAACTGCCACCTGCAACCAACGCCCAGGACAACTAGGTCATGTCCTGCAGCAAATTCCCAGAAGCACGTTGACTTTTCAAATGTTCCTGTCTCGGCATCACTCCAGCACTAGCACAAGGGCGAGGATGCTACAAGGAGGTAAGGTACTGATTTTGGTGTCCACACACTGATTTTGGGGTAGAATACACACCTGCCTTCAAACACTGAGCACTACTTAGTAGGAAGCCCCTATTCAAAGCCATGGAATGAGGAATACCAAGACACCTCCCAGTCACTTGGGTGCTCTGAAGGACTGGATCCCAGAACTGATGCAGCTTGCGTCCAGGAAAGATGCAACACTGGCAGCAAAGACAACTGGCTTTCAGTCCACAGGTGTGGGAGATGCACCTGCAGCAGACCTGCATCTGCTAGCAACACCTGTTAGATCTGAGTGCAGTCCTCTCGCAGGGATAGGAAATGGGCCTGGCCCCCATCTTTCCTTTAAGATTTTCAAAAGGTACAATGGGAGATGCTTCCAAAAATTCCAGGGCTGTGGAGCCCTAGCAGACTTAGCCATCATCTTGTATCTTTTAGGATAGATGGGGAAATCCTGAGCATTGGTCTTACATACCAACCAGCATGTGTTTTCCTTTCTTTCTGTACAAGCAGCATTCCCTGGTGACACCAAGCTTTAACAATAGAGAGGAAAATGCTTTCTCGTTAGTCTTCATTGCAGGATTAGACTCCCCATGACTACCCCCACTCCACCTTTGTGCTGCGAAGTTTTCCTGCCCCACAACAAGCAGCATGAGTGAGGGCTAGAACATGAAAGGTGCTCTTGAGTTTGTAACTTCTGCTCTGCACACACCCTACAAATGGCCAGGGTGCTCAGGAAGAAGGGATCTCCCAAAATCCCCAGGGACACCCATTCCTAACCTGGGACCATGCTGCTATGCTACTTGGTCTGTAGGCTGCCCTAGTCCTTAAGCTCAAAGACAGGGGACAAATCTTCTACCCAGGGATGGCAGTGTTCTCTGGTGGTCAAATAAGAGTGACTGACATTTTTAGGCACACATCAGACCTTACTGCTGTTAACTAGTCCTCAAGGAAAGGAAAAAGGCTTAGTTAAGGACAGAGGACCAAAGGAGGGGCTCCTACAGCACATGGAAGTGCAACTGCAGAACATCAGTGGCAGGACCATAACAGGGTGGCTACCATGTGTCCACCCGGCTCTCCCATGGGATGAAAAAAGCTCTTCAGCAGTTTGCTCACTGTGAGGACAGCTCAGGATGAATCATCTGGGCTTAATCTTTCCCTGAAACCAAAACTGAATTCAGGAGCCTTTTGCAAGAAACAGACAATGAGTATTAAAGGCTTGGGGCAAAAAGGGATGAATTAGGATTTCACAGGGACTACACTTCTCCATCACTTCCAAGTGATGGAAAGTACCTTTGAATTTTTGTACACAAAAATATGCATCCTTTTAAAATACATTATCAGAAGCATGGGCAAAACTTAGCATTGTACATGCTCTAAACAATACCCAAACAGTAAAGTCTGCAGCTAGAGCACTCAATTGCATTCTAGAATGCCTTTTTCCTTGGGGGACAAACATCCTTTTGCCAACAAGGGAAGACCAATAATCAACTGATCCTGCCTTTTCATTGACTGGTAAAAGTAGCAGCATGTACCCTATCACGTCTGATTACCAACATGAAGTTTCTCATCACAATGAATTTATTTACTTCTGCATGTTCTATAAACTGATTATCAATTGCTTATAGAGCTTCATCATACTTCATATATCAAGCACATTAAAGTTTATGAGTAAGTAGCAACTGAAGGTATCAACTGGCCCAGATAAATGCAGAAGCATAAGAAAGAAACAGCAAAATATGGGACAAGGCGTGAGCCAGCCTCAGTGTCCATCACACCTCACATAAAGGAAACCTACTCAGCAGCAAAGGAAGCCTACTCAGAAGCACAATTACATGTTTTCTCAACTGGATGACCAAGAGAGCATTGCATGAGATCTCACAAAGGTTAAGGGAAGCAAATTGTATAGCCATGCAGTAACAGCAAGCCTGCCTCCACTCAAACACATGGACACATCTCTTTCGAGATGGACCCTTACAGAAAGCTTATTCATGGGCATACACATGCAGCCAGGAGTGCAGTAAAGAAAACGCCACAATCTGGTACCTCAGTGTGAAGGACAACAACTGAAGATACTTCAGTCTAGCACTCCAGCACTTACCCTGCACTTCTGCCACTTAGTGCAATCTTCACTAAAGACTGGTCATCTTCTGCATCTTTTGGAAACAGGAAAAGCAAAGTACAGAGAGCTGCAGCAATGTCTTTAAAATAAGTGAGAGTGAGGCTTTCTTTGTGGCCACTGTAACTGTCAGGAAGCTTAGGAAGCGCGGGGAGAGCAACAGCAAGACCTGGTCTCTCTACTAGCAACTCAAGAGAGAAGCATCTTTCTATATCATGCATATTGCAAATGCATGAGGTCTCATGACCCAGAAGCCTATCAGTTAATTCTCCAACTGGAAACATATTCCTTTAAGTCTCTCAAGGCTTTCTCCCAAGTGGATCTATTATACTCTTGCTTTAATCACAACAGCTGAGAGGCACTCTTCTACAAGACTCTCTTTGCAGAAGTTACTCCACAGTGACGGTATTTTTATATTTGAACTGAGCTGGACTGAATTGGAACAGATCACCAATCCTTCTGAAATACTGTGCAGACCTGTCAGGAAAGAAAATGTAACAATTCTAGAAGTAAGCAGACTATAAAACCTTTATTTAAAAAAAAAAACCAAAAAAAACCACCAAAGCATCATTATAACTTCACAAGAAATACCTGAAGTTGCAGGACAAATAAGAACAGACATGCGTTTACCAATATATCATGTAAAGAACTCTTCCGATGAGGAATAGCTTTGCTACCAGTAATAACCAGGTTAAAAAAATTGGCTTACTTCCCCAGAGGAAGGAGAAAGTCCACTGCTGATCTCGTGGCATTTGAATCACTGTCTAAATATTCAGACCAACTAGGCAGGTTCTGCATCAGTTTGCTTCTAACTTATTCCCCCTAAAGCGTACAGCTCATCTTGGACATATTCAAAGCAGAGAGGAATACTGATTAATGTAAAGTGGATGGATTTCCAGAAAGAATAGATGAAACTCTGCCTGGAACACAGCTTGTCTCTATTTCAAGTGTGAAAATGACAATTTGCCAATACCTTGACAAAATTAACACAAACAGCAGGCTCTTTATGGAAGCAGCTTCAGAGACTGCACACAGCACCACCAGACACCAGCTTCAGCAAAGCTATGGGGAAACAGGAAGACATGGCCCAAAAATGAAACAAAACAAAAAGCCAACTTTACAGGGAGTGCTGCATTTTTCAGGTGATGCTGAATTTTGCAAAAAGCAGCAGTGGAGCAAAAAAAGACAAAGCAAGCATAAGAAATGGTTTAACAAGAAGGAATTACTTCCTCCTGCAATTCTCCAAGGAGCAGATCCTCCTTATCAGGACTTCTTTTGGGCCAAGACCACCATTTGTCCATGCTCAGTTACTAACCACACACTATGAATTAAGGTACCACTGCTAAACACCGCCAAGATAATCAAGGAGCAGTGCAGTAGCACAGGACTTTCTGCAAGAAAAGAAGTGTAACCCTGGAGCACAGTAAGCATGCAAGTAATTTACATTGTCTTGCACTGGATGAACAGTAGGGCGAGGACTTTACTACAAAAGCTAACTGATACAGAGTTAACCACTGGATTCATACACTTTTTACCTGCAGTATTGAGAACAGAAAAGACTGCTCTAGCTTTAAAGCACTATCAGCTTCGCTTTAAAAAAAAAAAAAAAAGAGAGAAATGACATGGCTCTTACCCACTATGCAAAAACTTCCTCTATCAAAAAAGACTTTAAATCAGAAAAACACAGATAAGTACAAATTTTTTTGTTTTAGGGTTTTTTTTGTCTGAGGAAAAAAAGATGACACAAACTTATTTGCCACTGGTGTTTATCCCAATTTATCACATACATATAAAAATCTAGTTAACAACAAAAATCCCTAGGGGAAAAAAAAAGGGCAAACCTGTCTGAAGCACAGACAGTATTTTTTGCTAAACCACTGAAAAGAATCACTACACTCATGTTCTTCAATAGCATTTTGTAGACTTATTTTTGCTTATAGTTGTCTTATTCTCCTCCCTTTTTTTTCTTACGGTGATCTCTGCAGGAAAAATTTTTCCCCTTTTGGATTCCATTTTCTTCTGATTTGGCATTCTTCACCTGAAGCCAAAACACTGGCTACACAGACTCTCAACATCGCCTGTGCTGAAAAGAGAACACTTTGATTAAGAGTGCACAACAATTAAATGGGAGGAATAAACAACAGAGTGAGGCCAAGGCATTTTGTTGTCATTCCAAGTTTTTCAGAAACAAAATAAAATTTAAAAAAGGTAAAAGCTGAATAAATGGAAAACCAATGTCCAAAAAGTTGTTTGGGGTTTTTTTCTCCTTTTTTTAAAACATTACCCCCAAGATCATCAGTGCTAGAAATGCATCCTCATTATCTTCTCTGGGAAAGTGCCCTATGCTTCTGCAGTATTTATTGTCAGCACCTGGGCACCATGGCAGTTCTCTGAAGAAGGGACAAGGTTCAGACAGCACGTTACAGTTTCCTGGTGTGGTGGAAAAAAACAGATGTGCATTTTAAATGCCACCGGGGAGTTAACCTGAGAGCCTGTCACTGCCGAGCAGCAGGAGAAACATCTCTCGATGCAGAGGATGAAGATTTCTCAGCACAGGAAATCCACAGCCTTTCCCTGTAAATCATTACCAAGAAATAATTCAAGGGGTGGAGAAACAACGAAGTATGGGGACACTCTCCTTTTGACACCCAGCCCTTCTTCCATGCACATGTACCTGCGAGGACACTCGTCCTGTCCGATGAAAGCCCGTGACGGTGGGCAGAGCACCCAGACCAGCCCCTCGCCCCCGAGGCGGTGGCAGCAGGCGCTGGAGGAGACCCAGGTGCACCTGCACAGGGGGCTCACCCCGCCCAAGGTGCTCGGTCATGTGGG